AATTAAATCCAGAAAACCCACAAATTTAGGTTGATTGATTTTCTAGGAATTATTTTAAAAAATTATAAACTGTCAAAAATAAAATGCAATAAATACTGGTTGACTTTTGTTGTTACTATCCTTGATAAATAAGTTTTATGTTTATAGATATATAGATGACAAAAATAAAATATAAATAAACAATTCCTAAACAATAAAGTTTTGGATTATTTGCCATTAAAAACAAATATTTGTAAATTTGCAAATAAATATGTTAACACACACATATATATACTACAGTTGGTACTCTCTATAAATGTTTATATATTATTCTTTTGCATATGTTGCTTATTTATTTATATTAATAATCGTCTAACTTTGTAAACTTCATAAATATTCAATTATATTATAAAGAAAATAACTAATTAAAAAAATATATAATATTGCTTCCACGAAATACTAACTATAAGATAAAAAAACCAAATTTAATAAATAAAAGCAGTGGTAAAATTAAAATAATTGCTATAGTTAACGGCTATGTTTAGTAGACAAGTAAGCCAGCTTATAGCTTATTTGGTTACTTTATAAGCTCACAGTATTCAAATAAATAAGTCTTGTTTTGTAGGACGAGTTTTTTTTTTTTTAAAGTTTGAGCTTATTTGATAAGTTTCTTTAGTAGCTCTCCAAATAAATTAATTAAATTTTTTATTCCACTTAACTTATCGACTAATTTTACTAAACACTTTTATCATATGATCTAATTTTTCAGAAATAAATCATAAATTATAAGCTATAAATTCGAACCCATCAACTTTAATTTAGCTTATCAAATGTCACTTAGTTTGACCAAACATACTCAACATGTTTTACTCTTATATTGGGGGTCATTTTTTTTTTTATTTTTTTTATTATTTTATTCTTTTAACAGGGTATATAAAAGTTTGGGTACCCTAATACCGACGATTTTGTGCTGGGTTACAGCTGATTGGGATTCTACGCACGAAGCTAAAATTGTTCGTTTCAGGTTCTTCGATATTTGATTTTGAAATTCATTGAAAACCTTCGAAGTTGCTCAATTGGATCCAAATGGCCGACAAAGAGATTTCCCCTGAAATCCGTCCGGAAGATGGAGCAGCAGACGCTGCGAACGGACCCAGCGAGTCAACCAGCAAAGTTGTGTCTGAAGAGGTTGAGGATGAACTGGACGAGTTAGCTTTGGACGAGCCTCGAGGTAATTCATGGCTACTCTATTTTCCCCCATTAGCTGGAATTTGTTTTTACTGTTTTGTGAATTGTAATATTCTAGCCTTTGATGGGGCAAAAAGGAAAATTTATGTTGGAAAGAATGAATTATGTGTTGTGATATCAGCTAAATGCATTTTAAATATGAGCCACGAGCTGGTTTGAGCTTATGTAATTCTTATTATCCCCGGTAACTGTTTGCATTAGTTTCTTGAGGGTTGATTCTTTTCCGTTTTATTACTGCTCAAGTTTCTTTAGTATCTCGTTTGCTTTCAAGTAGGGTGGTGGATCAATGAGCATCCTTTTCTATATTTGTATTGAATCTTGCTTCACTTGTACCTAAGAAAAAGTGTAATCCATCATGTAGCAGAGCTATTATACCTGAATGATTTGTGAAAGGAAATATCTTTCTGCTAGTTCTATATAAGCTGGTGACATGATAAGTGATAAGTATCGTCGGTCTTCAAAGATTCTTTAATTTTAGTGAATAGAGAGAAGTTTGTTGCATTAGTGATTGATGGACCACCCTTTTCTCGTAAAACTCCTGGATATCTTCATTAGATTCCTCTTAATAACCTGGAAAATCCTTGATACATTGCTGTTGCGCAGCCACGAGGGCCAGTAACCTTATTGTCCTCATATTCAGATTCCAGACAACGTAGCGTGTTTTGTTTCATTCTCTACTCTCCAAAAACGGTCTCTCTAGACTGCAGGGGAACCTAATTGAGCCACACCTTCAGTTCCCCGCTTTTGATAATCAGCTTTCTGTTCCACACGTCATTTCGGAAATTTATCAATCTGAAATTGTTTGTAAAATTTTTCCTTAAACCGCTAGTGTATTAATTAATTCATAAATTTATTCAAAGTAGCATTTTTGTTGTGTTGCTGATTGATATATACTCGACCATTGTAAGTTGAGTTAGTACAGTTTCTAACTTTAGTGATTGATATTTGGAATTGTTCCATGAAGATTCGTTTTTGTA